TAGACTATCATATTGCACTTGCATACTAGTATGATGGCTCCCGGATTCTCCGGATACAATACTAGGTTATAAAGTATAATATGTTATGTCTAGTTATACATGTATACACACCTATCAAATTGTTAGGAAGTCTCGTCTGCTTGCCGACAGGCCACAGCAGATGTTCAGTGGACTTAGAGCGGACACCATCCAGTGACAGAGTCACATATGTGACATGAGTGACTTATATGTTATATTTATTCGAATGCAATAGTCTGGGGCCCAGTTTTCCGGCTCGGAAAGCTTCCCAGTACTTCAAACAAATATTCTGAGGAGTTTTTGTATCTTACAATCACTCCCATAAGCCGTGATGAAGCAGAAGATGGGCTGGGGATACATCAGTCACAAACCATGTCACGTCACCCACTCACAGTGCGCTGCGCGATTATCAACAGTGCGCTGCGCTGGAATAAAAGTGCAAACGGAACGTCATACTCCTCTTTTCCCCGGTCCAGTTATCACTGATATGGGATCAGATTGCACCCAATGTATCGTTGGACGAAGCCGCAACGCTGCCCATCGCCGTGTCGACTGTTGCGATTGGGCTGTTCGGGACCGTCAACTACGAGGGCCCTGGCGGCGCCGGAATGACCGCGTCGTGCGTGGGAAGAGAGCGGTCGCGATAAGTATGCTGGTAAGCCCATCCTCGTATTTGGGGATCGTCCTCCGTTGGGCAAGTCGGTAAGTGCGGCCAGATTTCCAGAGGACGCGTGCTCATCCATACTCGCGGTGTCGCAGCCGTCCAGGTGGCGAAGCTCTCGGGATTTGAGCCTATCATCGCGACCGCGTCGCCGCATAACGAATCCCTCGTGCGTTCTCTGGGTGCGACACACTTCGTCGACCGGAGCCTCTCCGAAGACGTGCTCTGCGCAGCCGTGTCGTCCATCGCCACCTCCCCGCTCGACATCATATACGGCACGATCGGCACTCCCGACACGCAGCGCACTGCGTACTACCTGCTGGCGTGCGGAGGCACGTTGGTGAGCACCGTGCCGGTGGTGCTCGGCGCGGAGGTGCTGGAGGAGGGCAAGCGCGCGATACAGGTGAAGGGGAGCGTGTATATCCCGAGTCACCAGAACAAGGCAGCGGCGCTGTTTGGGGCGATCGAGGGGCTGACACGGTAGAGGATACATCGGCAGCTGCTGCAAGCGGATATTGTACCCGTTTCATGGTTGTTATGGCTAATAAACTTGAAGAACAATACCATTCCGAGCCTGTCAAAAGGTTGCAATTGCGCAAACGTACCTATGGATGCTGCGACCTATCTGATCTGACACTACAACGAAGCCCTACAGTATGACAATAGCTGCGGAGCGTCCAGAAGGGCATCCTGTAACACAAGCGTGAAAAGCGTTGGCACTTTAAAGTCTACCAGAATAACCTGGGGTTAGGGTCTTGTCACGTGAATGTCCCATGCCGAATCCCGATGAAATGGCACAGTTGAACTCAACTCGAGGGGCCCTGTTCTGGCTTAAACTGTCGCTGGAATACTGTCTTTCTGCTCTCAACGATGCATAGGCAACGCACTCTGTCACAGAAAACCGCCTCTTCGTCCAGCTCAGGCCATCCGTTGAACGCGAGCACACCATGGAATGCGAGCACGCGACCCTCGAGGGCCAGAGTCACAAGCCTCTCCTCACTGCCCGAATTCGCGAAGGCCCTCATAAATCCTCGCAAGAGCTTTCTTCCATCCGTCTCATCCCTATCCACCTCTCCTCGTGCCCATGCCTCGAACGCACCCACGCCTCCCACCCCCTCATCTGTTGCGATCTACCTTCTTCTCACCAGAATTCTGCCACCCGAGATTGTTATACCGATTTTGAATTTCTCTGGCCACTACCATCGTCTTTCTGCTCACCGTCGTCTCGAAACGGTTGTATCTGCGCGAGGACTGAGTGTCAACGAGCGCGAGCGGCGCAGGAAAGTCTACCTGGATGTAGAGGTGGCAGGGACGAAGCCTATCAGGAAGATCGTATGGGCGTTACGCATGCCGAGTCTACTGAATGGAGTGAGAATGCGTGCGGGAGGTAACGGAGTGTGGGTAGGCACAGGCGGGCAACGGACCCGGGATGTCCATCCGTTTGAGGTATCTCTCTACCGACGTTCTTCGCCGTCTTGCTCTGCTGTCGAACATTCTTCGCCTTCGCCGGAGTCTCCGGCGTACGCGGAGATCATACGCGTCCCGCTCACCATCCCCGTCCCTGCGCAGTCCAAGACGCGGTACATCGTGACCTGGAGCGCCGACCATGAGTTGGTGCGGAGTATAAAAACCGGAGACAGGATTAAGCTGGTTCTACCGGCGGTGTATGGGCGTGAGCGGGGGGACATGTATTCGGGCGAGTGGATGGCGGGTGAGGGTGGTTTTGTGCGAGGGGAAATTTGGGAGGCGGAGTGTTTCGTATACGAAGAGTGGTAAGGCTAGGGTGGACATCATTGGGAGACGTGAGTGCGAGCTCCGTTTCTATTGCTCTGGATTTGGATGAATGGGTTGTAGATTGTGCTTCGATAGTCTTAGGGGCCATAGCAGGCTCGCTCAGCCAATCGGTATCTGATGCTTTCGCTGCCGCGGATAGAAAACAGGAATCGTCTACTCATATGATGTACCGCCAGCGGGGAGAAGATGATGAATCGTAGTAAATAGTGAGAAGTCGGAATCGATTCAAAATCTTGGTAATGAGCCCACTCGCGCTATATCTCCACGCGATGCACCCGTCTGCCCACTGCGTGTACGGGAGGGTTTCGAATGATCTCGGTGAGCTGCCGTGATATCGCATTTTCATCGTGGATGTTGTCTGAATTATATCGGACACCCCGTATACCAGGAGAAGCTTCAAAGCTCCCATAACATTGACTTCGGGCTTGTGCTGTGTCGAACGGGGGCGTCAGGGTTCCTTATTTCCTATAGTATGCCGCTGCCCCTAAGTACAGGATGTCAGAATCGAAAGCAGCGTTTACACAGCCTTACAGGTATACATAGCCTCCGTGGCGCCCCAGTTTATATCTGTCCTATGATGACCTTCGAGCACCGGAGATAGTTCATTCTTTTTTTCTGCCCCTCGGTGCCGTACCCGCACAGCGTCTCCTCTGTCGGCATGGGAAGCGAATTGATTTACACGCTGGAGGTAGGCACTCGTCAGTCTATTCATGACTTTCACTGCGCTTACTAATGACATTCGTGAGGTGCTGTGTAGGAGTGATGACATTCGAAGATTTCGCACCGCTAATGCACACGCTCCTCGGTGCCTTAAGTTCGGATCTACGTGGTTTGTTCAGGGCTCAATGCGATGCTGAGACAGATGAAGTACATGTGCTGATAAGCATCGCATCGATAAAACCCTTGATACATTGTACGTTTGCAATGCGCCTCGTACATGACTGCATGGGAGCATACGAGTTTGTACGATATTTCTTCTTCTCATATTTCATTCAGCCATCTCCATGCATCTCGCGTTGGAACCAATCGCCATCCCGTTGCACGAAAGGTTCGTCTCTCACATTCATCTCGTGCTACTGGACTGTTCACTAATGCGTGCTGTCCATCGTTTCATCATCGCGCAGTCAGAATGGTCTCGCCGACACCGATGCCGCACTTGGAATAATCGACAACACCTAGTGATAGTGAAAAGCTTACGACTGAAAACCCGTGTGGCATCCGTACGGGCATAGAACCGCAATACAACGTCAGCGGCGGAAGTCACGCGTCTAACCCTTCGACGTCCTCGAGCATCCGACAGACACGGGAAGCTGATACATTTCACGACTCATCTAATATTGCGACGTCATCTACGAGTAAGGAGGTCCATGCTAACGCAGCTACCGACAAACATCAGAATGCTTCCCAAGCGTATTATCCAAAATTGATCTCCGATACTAACCCATTTCCAAAGACTGATGGGGCGAATGAGTCTTGCCTGCCTGCAAGCATTTGCTAGCGAACCGGTGCCCTTCTTCGGCGTCACTGGCTACTATTTTGTATCGTATCCACCACGATATGCGAAGGCTGCAGTATACCCGTAGGATGGACTCTTCGCATTCTCCCCTTCGATGGAAGAGCTGGGGATGGCTCAGAATCTGTGGGTCATCGGTCTATGTGAGGTGGCGATTTACCCTGACGCACACTAGATACTTCTATACGCGAATCTCCTTGAGGTTGACGCTGAAGGTAGAGCTATGTCTCTTGACTGGCTTGTCTCCATGTCTACCGGCGGGTGCGCGCAGTATCCTGATAGTCTCGTGAATATCTGCTTCGATCTGTAAGTCCTCTCATTATCTTCCAGAGCACGGATTACCATGGGACGTGGTCTGACGCGTATTCCACAAGGAATATCCTGGGAAATTCTAGTTCTACCCCTGCAAGCAACGATTTCCCCACTGTTCCGCTTTTTACCCTCAACACGACGGTCGCATGTGCAGGAAACCTCTCATCTAGGAGATACTTCATCACTCCATATTTCCGGACCCAAAGTGCTGTCACAAATATTCATAACAGCCGCACACCACAATCATACCCTTTCGACTGGTATGGAACCTCTGTGCACGCTGTATGTATTATGCCTTTGTTCATATCCCAGCACACGATACAGGTATACGGCCAACATTTTTATGCTTGCATCGAGCTCCGATGGAACATTTCTTTCCGTCGGGATCCCGGAGACATCGGGTGTCGCAGTGTGAGTATACAATTTCTATACTCATGAGTAGTACCTACCATTCTGACTGCGGCCCGAATGTAGGGGATTCAATGTCATGAATGATAGAGCTAACCCATTCAAAGGAGAACTTCCTCGTCATTCCCTCATTTCTACGTTTACAATCACTCGAGGCAACGTGGTGGTGCTATACACGATGATCATCATTGTGGCAATCTGCTAGTCGCATTTGGTCCAGTGACCACCGCTGGCGCTTCTACCGATCTTCAGGGCTTGTGGCCTTGATATTTCTTTACACCTGCATCGCTGTGGTGCTATTCAAGAAGGGCATCCCAGCTACGGTACTTGTCCTTCCGGTCGCGACACTATTTGCGTCCACAGAACTGCGAAGTACTTTGTCCGGAGCACCCTCAGATTTTGGTCGGTCCTCATCTCACCCTAACCGTTCCAGCGTATACTACGTCTCCAGCTCTGATTCCGTCTGCACCTTGAATCGGCCCTGAGGCGGCTTCTTATTCCACAACCTAGAAAAGCAAACGCGAGCGCTCGGAGGATCACAGGAAATAGCTGACGAACAACGTGGGTTGTTGTTAGTGTCGCTGTGGCCTCACCTTCATGTTTCGTAGTGACTGACAAGCGAGTGACAAAAGCCTTGAGTCCCGAAGGTCTCATAGAACCAAAGCCCGCAGGGATATTAAACTAGTAGCATGACGACCAGAAAGACCAACAAATATACATTTTGCCGATGAGAGAAGAGTGTGATATGTGGTGGCTGTGAGGCCCCAAGCTCATGTACGGCAAGGTTTGAACTGCGATTCGATAACTTTGTGTTAGATGCTCAGTACGTAACAAAGCCCGTTTCCCGTACTGTCCTGTAGATGCAAGTTAAGACCATGAGAATGAATAGTGTTGATCTTGAAAACCCACATTATATACCACTATATTGTCAGCGGTCACCGCTAATTCCAAGCACCCCCTCGGACGCCGAATCGCGGGAGGCAAAGAGAAGGTTCTCTTCGCACAAGGCAGAAACATAGAATGATTGACCCAGAACGTCTCGTCAGGGTCCATCGCAACATGTGCTTTCATTCGTCCACCTTGCAACCCCCGTTGAATCCTGTGGACACGGAAGTCGAAGAGTGTCACTGTGTTGTCCATCACAGTGTACGAGTCCATAATGCGGTCGATTGGGTTGAACCAGTCAATGAAACGCTGGCAGGCAACCGACTGCATACGTCGAGAGGGAAAATAATTGTAGACGGGTCCTGTCATGACCGTATTTGACCCCCACTCTTCCCATGGGCATACTCTAATGGGATCGGGCTGTCCGAGCGTCTGTCGGATTCTGGAAGTAAGCTCGGCCGCCGGAATGACATGTGTAACCCGAAAGTCGTGCTGCTCCTCGAAACTACCTCGCTCGTGATACATTTGGACGAGGAAGTACACGTCCGTCGGGGCCCCCCGAAAGAGAGCAGCGTCCTCCGATTCAGGTAGAGACGCAACGGACGGAATTGTCTCCAATTCCATCATGAGGAGGTGCTCCTCATAGAGCGGATATTGGAACGTGTAGCAAGGCATCTCCCCGGTCCATGGGATGGGTTTGGTGCATGCCGAGCGCTTGTCTATATTATAAGCCTCCAAGCGTGGCTTCCCACCTTCCCAGGGGAGGACAGTTGTAAGGAGGAATCCATCCCCGAACGTGAAGTCCTCAATGCGAGACGCGCCACTCAGCCACTGAGACGCTCGACGTGAGGGAAGAACGAGAAGAAATGTGAGTATTCATTGTATGAACTTACCATACGTACTGTGCCTTCTTTCCAGGACCAGACGACTAGATGAGGCTCAGTGCGATGCTCGCCCAAAGCATTTGGAATCATAGCGCCGACAAACGCCCCTGACAATCGAAGCTGGCACCGGTCTCTGGTATCCACACCGTACGGAAGCGGTGTGCTCGAATGGACTGCCTGCGGGTGCGCTTTTCCAGTCGAAAGAGACAGAAAGTATATCATCTGCTCTTCATGATTGCCCGCAGCCCGATCTTGGCTCGGTGCTCGGGAAAGGATCACAAGGAGATCTTGGCCAACATCAATCGCATAGTCTTTGATCATAAAGCCTATATCGTCATAGCGCCATTCCCTGGCGTTGACTCCTCGTGCGTGCCCTGGGAGTATGTTGAACACTAGCGTCGATGAGTCGAAACATCGACCAAGGACGTTGCCCGAGAGACGAAGCATAGGACCTCTACCGCAGTGGAGTTTCTCCACGGATCCAAACTGCGCTCCGGCCCAAGAGTCGCTATATTTACGCAAATGCTGCAATCGTTCCGCGGTAGTTACGTGACTCGGCGGTCCATCCTCCATACCAGCAATCGCAAGCTCGACCTTGTATTGAAGAGTAATGGATTGATCGATGACTTCTTTCATATGTCGATTCACCTAGGCCGTATCGCATCCAGGTTCAGCCTACTGGAATTCAAGGAGCAACGCCGAGGATCATCGTACCTGGCGACAAGCCACCAGAGTTTCCATTTCCACCTTCGCGAGAATGTTCTCCAATAGTTCAGTCGGGAGTTCATCGATCACAGCCTATAAGAATTGCTACAGAGTCACTCTCGATAGACAGGCTGAGTCCTGTCCTACAAGGCCTCACCATTTGCAGATGAACAGGATGATCAACAGCTGTCGTCAGTCAATCGTCCGAACGTCTAATGCACTGGAAATCAGACGTAACTTTTCGGTCCTCCTGTTGATAGGTAAATATGCAACCACATACCTTGGCTGCCTCAGAGCTCCTGTGTGACGAATGTGTACTTGTCGTGTCCGCTGAACACCGCTAAAACCAGTGTGGCTGCTGGACGGCACCGGGCAGATGCCGTAAAGGTCCCGGCAACTTCGGCTCGATAATGATACCACTGCAGTAAAAAGAAAATAAAAATAAAAAGAAAAAATAAAAAGGGGGAAGGCTCAGGGAGCCATGTGGCAACATCCAAATATGGCTATTTGTGGCTGGAAGGCTGCTTTTTGCTCATGAGCTAGTCATGCAACATCCCGCTGCTCGCCCATGAGGCAGGAGATGTATTTCTAGGACTCTGGTTCTCGCAAATTTGATGTGCAATTCATTTTTCTCCCCGGCCTTCGATCGGGTATTGACTGAGTATCTAAGAAAATACCCCTTACCGATTGCCCACAACACCTACATGGCTCAGGTAGCTACAAGTAAGAGATCTTCTGAAGGATTCATAGTACACAACGTGCTTTCTGCTCACTGCGATATCGAATGCGAGACGCTTGGTGCACATTTCCCACGCTTAGAACCCCGCACAATATCAGCGGTGGCTGCGACTAAAGTCCTCGCCTGCAAGCTTTCCGGCTGTGTACCTCTCGCCACAAGTATGCAGTACACTCTTGACTTCAGGACAGAGTATGGCATAGAAGTATCAGGTTTTTTGAACGGCTATATACAGGTATACAGTTTGTTCATGATATTGAGCGGAGTTCGAACCTCGCTAATGAGCTCGGCAACACCCGCCTCGTGCTCGCAGCAACAAGGCTGACATGGCGGCCGCGACGCAATTATAAAAATTTGAGACTATACAAAGTTTTATAGCATGCTCTTTAAGGGATAATTCTAATCAGCAACCCCCCTGAGAAGCAACAACCCCTCAGCAACCCATACCATTAGCCAGCAACCCGGGTTGTCCACCAGCAGTCACATGTGACATCAAGGTTTGCTAATCTGCATTCTGCCTGGTTACTTACAGTTGTTTGCATATGAAACCGAAAATCGGGTTTCCGTGAGCATTGTTTGTTCGAGCCAAATATACCCATATGCAGTAATGCGAGATGGCTTCTTGTGACTGCGTGACTGTCAGATAGCATTCATCGACGTCTCGAACTTGAAGTATCGACTGGCTGGTACCATGGTTCACCTCACTCGACAACTACGTGAACGTATCATTGTCTGGCGCCATGAGCAAAACAAGACACTCCGAGTGATTTCTGAGCTTGCGGGATGCAGCATAAGCACAGTCTTCGAAGTTCTCCGACTCTACACGGAATACGGCACAGTCATCAACCCGAATGCTAGACCTCGAGGCCGGCCGCGCACTCTGGACATGCAGGATATGAACTTCGTGCGATCAGT